TGTAGCACAATACACATCCACAAACTTGTATGTACACCTCACACATACATACACTAGCTATGTACACATTCTTAGACACATATACACGCACATAAACATGCACAATTACACACAAGCATGAGCAAACACGTTCGTCCATGTATATAGCCCTCCACAGAAAATATTTTACACAGGCGGGAAATCTTTCAAACGAAAAAATTAACTACAATTTATTGAAATTTTCCCAAAAAAAACAAAACTGAACATCTCATTTTGAATGAATAAATTTGTAAATTGTATAAAACATAAATATTATTTCACACCTGTAATTTTATTTCTTGCAAAATAATCCAACAACGACCAGAGTTATTTGTTCAATCATCGTTTAGCGTACTATGTAAATATCGAAGATGTACATATACCAATAAATCGTTATATTTCACTCTTATATAACATCTGTACGTACAGGCAAACATACGCAAGCTAATAATTAACAATGCAACGCATTCACTTACTAAAGAAGTACTGAATGCATTAATTTTCCGCAGCAGCTAAATTATTTTTCTATTCAATTTCGGCTCACCGGTTTGGTACTATCCACAATTATTATTTTGTAAACGAATCCGACCGGATTTTGCCAGTTTGAATAGCACAAACACCATCAATCAAACCCCAACTCAACAATAGGTTATTGTGTTTATACAATGCTACAATACAATTCATCAATGATTGTAATATAATAATGAGACCTAAAATTGGACTTACAGACAGTCAGTAAGCAGTCGCATATGCAATTATGCATATAAAAGAACCAAATTTTAAACCGGTTTTGACCTGAAAATCTTGGCTGGTTACCGAGAGAATCGAAACTTTTATATCATTTATCTCTTTTGTATTGAAATTGGTTTTTTTTAACATTCATACTTAGCGACTCATAAACCGGTTTATGTATTAATAGATTCAAGTTTGATTCATTAATCATAGTTATGGTAAAATTATTTCCAAGATAGATTCGCGCAGAAAAATTAGTAAAAGGGAATGTCTCCGTAGGAATTTATACCGAAGATGTATTTTGAATGTTTAGGAGTTACTTTGTGTCATTTTAGTTTTCATTTTATTTCCTGTCTTTTGTTGATTTTGTTATTTGCTCTTTGATTATTTAGAACGCAAAGTTACGCCCAAAGCATTTATATGTTATTAATTCTTTCAATCGCTCCCTCCATTCTCTTATTTGTTTATGTGTCTATTTGCTGAGGTGGTAAGCTATACTTTATTTTATTCATTCATTCTTTCATCCATCTACCCATCTATTCATTCATTCGTTCGTTCGTTTGTTCGTTCGTTCGTTCATTCATTCATTCATTCATTCGTTCATTCATTCATTTATCCATTCATCCGTTCATCCATTCATTCATTCATTCATAAATTTTTCAATCCTACCTTGTCTATTCATTCAACTTAAAATTTCAAAATAGAATAACCCTTCAGTTAATTTAATTAAAAACTCAACGAGCAAACACTGAAAAAGTCCAAAAAACCATCGCGTTATTATAAAATTAATTTTACTGGGATTTGAAATTCTATATGATTTTTGAATGATTATTTTTAATTATAATACTTAGAAAATTAGTTTATTATTATCATTATTATTATTATTAAAAATTGTAGTGCTGTTTGATTTTGCATGTTACAAACCGGTTATTATTAATATTAATATTATTATTTATATTATTATTATTATTAGTAGTAGTAATAGTAGTAGTAGTAGTTGTTGTTGTTGTTGTTGTAGTAGTAGTTGTAGTAGTAGTAGTAGTAGTAGTAGTAGTAGTAGTATTAAATTTATTATTTTTATAATTATTATTATTATTAAATCACCGATTATTGTTATTCTTATAGTTTGCCATTTTGACGAGAGTACTGAAAAGACATTGTTTTAGATACAACAACAACAACATCATCAACAACATCAACAACAACAACAAATACAAGAACAACAACGACAACAACAAACAACAACAAACAACATCGACAACAATGATAATAGTGATGATTTTTATGTTTCAGTAACAAATCCTCTTAGATCTGTTTGTTATAACTATTATGATACGCAATATTAACAGCATGTGATTATTTGTGTGTGTGTGTGTGTGTGTTCGTTTGTTTAGTTGCGCTTTTGTTTGTTTGTGTTGGTGTCTGTGTGTTTGTGAGTGTCTGCTATTCAATGCATATATAATGAATATTTAATTACGAAAATCCAACACATATGTATTATTCATAAAGGCTATTAGTAGGCAACGAACGAGTATGACTATATGTGTGTGTTGGTTTGTGTGTGTGTGTTGTGTGCGTGTGTGTGTGTTTAGTTGGAACCAGTTTAAACCAAACGTGACGAGATTGAAATCTATACATCTGTTGTTTGTTCTGCTGCTTTTCAACTTGTTGTTGGTGTTTGGTTTGCTTGGTAGGTAAGTTGGTTGGTTGGTAAGTTGAATGGTTGGTTGGTTGGCTGGTTGTCTTGTGAGGTTGGCTGATAGGTCAGTTGGTTGATTGGTTGGTTAATGTTTTTTATTGTTATTGCTAATTTCGATGTTGTTGATTTGGTTGTCGTTAATTTCGTTTGTTGTTGCTATTAATAGCCATAGATTGGTAATTATTTACTGTTGTAATTGTTGTTTGGTTAGTTATTGGTTAGTAAATTGTGTTAAAAATTGTGTTATTTGTTTATATTGTCCAACTGTTGTTACTAGTAATGCTGTCTTAACGTTCGTGTGTTTGGTTTTTTTTTTATAAAGTGTCTGGTTATTTTTAAAGCCGTAACTTCAAATAAGTTGAGCATACAAAACTCGCATCAGTAAACGAATTTATGAAAATTTATATAATATTTCCCATCTTTGGGAGTTTCTGCATAATGAACTCGGTTTTATTATTGAGACATACAAAAATTCATGTGTTTATTTGACGTGATAGTTATTTTAGTATCATTTTTACCAAAGAATAATATTTGTGATAAGATACAAACAATCCTACAAACTGATTTTCCTTATCTATTATAACTCATATCTCTCTTTCAACAACAAGGACACTGCATGTAAAATAGGTGATTGACACGCCACGCACATTTTATGTGATAGGAGGTAACTCTCTGAAGTTGAATCAGGTTTCTGCAAAGACTGTGCCAGCCACCATAACCATTACACTAGCATGCCGGCCAATTATTTTAAAATAATTAATTAATTTAATTTGTTTTATAAAAAAGTGTGGTTTAATCTTAACTTGCTTGCACCTTTTGTCTGTCACACATTATGCATTTCATTTCCACGTCCTTTTTTGGCGAACTCTCTTTCACTCATTCATTTGTTCATTTATTCTTATGTAATTTTTATTTCATGTTATTGTTGTCTGCTGTTTAATGGCTCTGGAAGAATCTAATTGTAAATGTCTTTTGTTGGGATTGGTTGTTGTTCATTTGTGGATGTTTCTTTGTTGATGTTGTTTTGATTGTGTTGCATGTTTTTGTTTTATAATGTTGTTCGTTGATGTCGGGATGTTGTTGCTTTCCATGCCGGTTATTAGTTCAAATTGTATTTTTTGTTGTTGTCGCTATTCTTTTGTGTCTGATTGTGGTAATTTTGCATGGTTGCAATTCTTTATCAACGAAACTTTTTTACTTATACATACCACTTGTTATAAATCCTTCGATTATTGTTGTACTGTTAACAACACTATATTAAGACGTAATTGCCATTTTTAGGCTGTGGAATGGTCGATCCGCTCCTTCACTCGCATATTGTATGTTGTTCCTGGATTTAAATGGTTTAAAAGGTGGCTTTCGTGATATTGTTTTTTGTAAATTTTACTAATTTTTCAAGTTTCAAACAGTAAGAAAAATTTTGTTTTCAACCATTTTACTATATTTTTTATCATTTATTTATAGCTTTTTTTGTTGTTGAAATATCTTCCGAATATTTTGTAATAAATAAACTGAAATAATTAAAATATCTAGAAGATGTACAAAAAATTTATAACTTGCCTAAATATTAAATAACATTGATATAAAAATAAAATTAGAAAAGTTGATAGAATATTGGTAGTAGCAAGTAGTTGTTGGTGCTGGCTGGCTCTCAGTGCACTGAATACTAATTTATATAGTTAGGAGGAATTTAATTAGGGGCTCACATTTAATTTTAAAGTTTAGGAAAAATTTATAACAAACACACAAACGAACAAACAAACACACAAACACACACAAACGAACACACAAACACACAAACACACACAAATAAACAAACAGCAAAAACGACATATGCGTTAAAAATGTTTCATCATTGTTTTTATTATAATAATTATTTTCATTGTGATGATGATAATAACAATAATAATAAAAATAATAATATTAAACTAATAATAATTTTATTATGATTAGCAGAATGTTATTCAAGGGTAATTTAAATCTGGAAACATATAAATCTAAATTTAAAATTTGCAAAATGCTGAAAACAAAATTGTACAGCAAAGAGATGATGACGTCATGAAAAGTTTTGATAGTGTGAGTGAAAATGGAGACAGTGACGATGATGATGATGATGATGACAGAAGCTGCGATGATGACGATGACAGCTCTCCAGTTTTCTTACGTACTTTTGCTCCATTGCTATCTACAAATTAATTTATTAACGTTCGTATGTAGAAATAAATTTAAATAAAAAAATATGTAATCACATAAATACGAGCTAGACTATGTATGTGAGTACATGTTTATGGAGCTAGAAAAAAATCTAGAATCACTAGTTATTTCGTTGCCGATCGATAGCAATACAGTTTCTACTTTTAATGAACTTGAACAGAAATAATAAAGGTAAATTTTGGTTTTGGTAAACGCTAGCCAGATTGAAATCGCTTCTCACTACTCACTAATATTATTAGCATGAAAGTAACTTGTGTGATAAATAACTAATTAATATTTTTACGCCGTCAAATCTTCGTTATGCATCTATCATATATATTTATTAAATTTTAATTTTTTAATTCGAACATTCTTCTTTGTTATTTTCTACTAAACGTGTGAGTTTAAATATATTAAATTAGTATTTACTGTTAGTATTAACAAATGTTAACAAAAAAATTATTACTTGAGCAGAATGATTTCGGTCCAATCCAATGCGTATGAAATTCATCGGACGGCAGTGATAATGATGAAGAAGCTGATGATGATGGTAATGACGGCGATGATGATGAGGAAGAGGAGGACGAGGAAGAGGAAGAAGAAGAAAAAAATGATGATAACGAAGAAGATGAAGATGATAATAATGTATTCGGAGTTGAAATTGATGATTTTATAGCAACATGTGGTTCGGGCTTCAATTCACAGTACATGAAAACACTCGTTTTGTGATGATTTTCATCATTATTATTATTATTATTGTTGTTGTTGTTGTTGTTGTTATTGTTATTATTATTGTTATTATTATTATTACCATTATCATCACCATAATTTTTACACCTTATCGTACAATGTTCTCCGTAGAGCGGATATTTATGACAGTTATCAACGATCACATCCTTAAGTACGTCGTCATCATCATCGTCATCATCATCATCGTCATCATCATCGTCATCATCATCGTTATCATCATCATCATTAACTAGCGGAGGGCAGGGAAGACCTGATGGTGATAATGATGATTATGATTATGATGATGATGATGATGAAGATGGTGGTGGTGGTGGTGATGTGGATGAAAAACAATTTTTGTTCAAAACAATTTCACCAAAAAACAAATTAATTAATACAAAAATAAATCTTACAAACCTCTAACAAGAAATTTGTGCCTTCCAACAAACTTCTTAACACCCTTATCAGTGTGACCATTTTTTACTTTATCTTTATCATTCTTATTATCATTCTTGTCATCATTATCATCATCTTCGTCGTCATCATCCTTTTCGCCATCACCATCATCCTCGTCGTCGTCGTTGGGGTATTCTTCGAAGAAGTCAAACAGACATGTGTATAACCCTATATCGTTTCTATCTGTTTATTATGACGATGATGATGTAATAATTATTATTATTATTGTTATTATTATTGTTATTAATATGATAATAATGATAAGTATAATAAAATAATATCAATAATGAAGTCATTTTATGTAGCCCTATAATGATAATGAAGATGATGATGAACGATGATCCTGATGATGACAGCGACGATGACGATGATGATGGTGTTGAAAATAACGATGATGATAGATTATGATCATAATCATGATCACAGAATAATGATGATGAAATGATGATGATGACAATGATGATGATGATGATGTTACTTTCATTCTAAATGATCACAACATTGCTAATGCTACTAACTGAAGTTTGATATTGTTAAAGAGTTCTTATTAATGATAAATTTTTCCTCGTTCCTTAGTTTGTTGTCATCAGCGATTTTAGTGTTCTTGTTATCTGTGGGAGAGTAGTCGACATGGTTGTTGTTGTTGTTTTTGTTGTTGTTGTTGTTATGGCTGTTGATGTTGCTGTTGATGACGTGGCTGTTGTTGTTGTTGATAGCATTTTTGTAGTTCATGTTGTTGTTATTGTTTTTGTTTTCAAGGGTTTTGTTGCTAATACTTCTGTTTTGGTTTTGGTTTTGGTTTTTATTGATGTTGTTGTTAATGTTGTTGTTGTTGACGTTATCATTATTATTATTGTTATTGTTTTTATTATCGATGCTATAACGCAAATCAATGCTCCTTTGAAACTTGTAATTTTTTGAAAGACTATGTTTGCTTAAATTTGATCTTTTTAAATTCATGAACTTGTTGTTGTAGTTGTTCCTACTGATGGTTTTTATATTTTTGACGTTTTTGCTGTTGTTATTGATGTTGTTGGTGATAATATTGATGTCTTTATTGTCGACATTTGTGTTTATAATGTAACGCTCTGTAGAATTTTCATTAACTTTGTATGACCAAATAACATTAATGTGTTGTTGTTGTTGTTGTTGTTGTTGTGATGATTGTTGTTGCGGGCACAGTAACAACAAATTTTCATGCATCTTAGCAAAAATGGTTGTTGTTGTTTCAGCAAAAAATTCATTTTGTCGTTGCTGCTGCTGACGTTTAACTTGTTTCATTTGATATGCTTGCTGTTTGGGCTGCAGCTGATGTTGCAGTTGTTGTTGTTGTTGTTGTTTGCGTTGTGAGGGTTGTAGTACTGAAGGTTGTTGTTGTTGTTGTTGTTGTTGCTTAGACCGTTCTGAATGCTGTAACTCTTGTGAAAAGTTGATCGGGTTACGTGATTCCTCTTCAAAATCTTGAGATACTGCACAAGAAAAATTGCAAAAAAAACCAATGTAGCAATTAATAGATTATTCATCAAATTAAAAAAAATGTCAACACACACACACACCTCACACGCATACTCTCTCACACACACAACACAGCCACACGCACAACCACACACACACACACACACACACATTAATAAAATCAAACAAACAGCCACACACATTCACAAATAAATAAATAAACAACTAACATTTCCAAACTGTTTCAACCGGGTCATATCCATATACCATCTCACATGTGTAATATTTCATCGTCAAATTAGTAAAATTATTATTGTTGTTGTTATTATTATTATTATTATTATTATTACTGATTGAATAGTTGGCAGTAGAACAAGAGCAAACATGTCCAAAATAGTATTTATAACTTTTATTGCAATCAACCCACGAGCAATCTCGTTCGTCAGATGGTGGGAGAGCTGGACAGATATATCCTGGAAATTTTATGATTGTTTTGTCTATTATTTTACAAAAAAATTTATTGTTATCTGGAGGAATTAAAATTTTAAGAGGTCAAAATTTTACAGATTCCAAATATTAGAAAGGCTAAAATGTCTTAATGGGGTGAATTTTTTGCTTATACAACAGTTTCAACTATATTAATTTTCAAATTTTTATATGCTAAATCACGAATAAAGTAGAAAATTTGAAAACTTTGCCAACAATTAAGAAGTGGATTAATATTAATAATAATACTTTTGAGAAGTATTTGAGGAGTCGATAATGTGGGTGGGCCCAGATTTTAAATTGTTTCTGGGGCCCTACCATTAAAGGGTCGTGATTCGGATTGCCATTTATGAAATATTGAATATGAATCATCGTAAAATTATGAAAAAAAAATGGTTGAAATAACGTAAATAATTACAAAATATTTATTTTAAAGTTATTCACTGGTAGAAAATATTTTCAATAAGTACCATCAACCAAACAAGGAGGAAGAATAACCTTTGAGCACAAAGATATATTCGTACATCTCTCCACCATAATCATCACCATCACGTCCGTCATCTTCATCAGCTTCTTCCTCCTCATCATCATTTTGATGATTATCATCCCTGTTATTATTTCTTACGTACAGTGCGCATTTGTAGCTTGTGAGGTCTTCTCTCACTAGTAACGTCAGATGTATTTTATATAGTATCGTTAATTCAAACATGCAATCATGGATTTTAAAATGTTACACAATTATGGATTTTTAAAATATTATTATAAATCATAAATAAAATTATCAATTTAATCGCTTATAAGAACAAAAAACGTGGTTTTTATAGCCAAACAAACACACACACGTACATAAACACACATACAAACACACACACGTACATAAACACACATACAAACACACATAAAAATAGATGCATATTTATTTACCCACCTATATTGAATACATTCAATCGACTAAAATAAGCGTGTGTTTCAATAAAAAATTTAATATTATTCGTCTTGTTATTTCTGTTATCCGTGTTGTTGCTGATGTTGTTGTTTGGGTTGCTGATAATGTTGTTATTGTTGTTGTTGATATTATTATTCTCATTTTTTAATCGATTGTTGTTTACAAACCATTTGACTTCAACGTGTTTCGTTGATTTTCGTTTTTCATTGTATTGACGATCGCTTTGATTATTATGATGATGATTTTGTTGCATTTTTTGTTGCAGTTGATGTTGTTGCTGTTGTTGGGATTCTGAGTTTTGTGTTGGAAAATAGGCCTCAAGATTTATAGTGGAGCCAATTTTAACAAACATCGTTGTTTTGTGATAGTGTTGTCGTTGGCGACCCTGCTGGTGATGCAGTTGTTGCTGCTTATGATTATTGAGTAGTTTTTGTGGCTGTTGTTTGTTTTGTTGTGGCTGCCGTTGTTCCTGTTGTTGGTTCGGTTGTAGTTGTGGCTTGTTGTGTTGTTTTAGTTGTTGCTGGTTGTGTTTTTGTAGTTGTTTGTGTTGTATCCTTCGTTGTTGATTCTGCTGCCCATGGGAGAATGTTGGGTCTAATTGGCCTGCAAATAGGTTGGGTGGTTGGTACATTAAATGATTACATTCAGACAACTCATCCATCACGCGCTCACTATTACAAACCATTTGTTACTTCCTTCTGTTTGTCATCACTATCATCACTACCACCACCATCATCATCGTCATCATCATCATCGGTATCATTACTATAATCGACTTCGTCATCATAATCATCACCGACACTGATTACAATTAGTTGTACGTGATCTATTGCATGTTTGTTGATGCTGTGCGTGAAGAGAGCACAGCTGTACGTGCCTGCATCTGATGTTGAAGAGGTGCTGATTAGTAGCCTGGATGATGTTGCTGATGTTTGTATTATGTAGTTTTCAAACTGTTGTTGTTGTTGCTGCTGCTGTTGTTGTTGCTGTTGTTGTTGCTGTTGTTGTTGCAGTTGTTGTTGCTGCTGCTGCTGCTGTTGTTGTTGATCTTGCTGCTGTTGTTTGTGCTGTTTTTGTTGTTGTTTGTGCCGTATTTGTTTGATCCTTCTTTCGTGAGAGTTACGCTTCCATCTGATTTTGTAACGGTTGTTGTCGTTTTTGTTGTTGCTGCCGATGTAGCTGTTGTTGTTGTTGTTGCTGCTGCTATTGTTGTTGTTGTATAGTTTTTGTTGTTTTTGCCTTTGCTTTTGTTGTTGTTGGGTTTTTTGTTTATTTTCATATTTAATTTTATCTTTTTTGTAACTTTCAAACTCTATATCATCACGATGATCATCATTACCGTTGATGCTTTTATTGCTACTACTACCACTACCATTCCCACCATTGAGAACTTTATTGTTTTTGTACCACGTGACTTTATTAAAATTTCCATTTCCGGTTTTGCCTGTGTCAACATTGCAGGTTAGTTGTACGACTTCGCCGGCCTGCGACCAGATGTTTGGTGCTTTTGCATCTATATGTACTGATGATGATTATGAATTGTGATGATGATGATGATTATGATTGTGACAATGACGATGATGATGGTGATGATGATGACGATGATAAAAGTGTCAATTAAAATGACGACGATAATGATGAAAATTTTTTTTCCTAGTTTAGAAATATTTGAAAAAATAATTGAACAGACCAACCTTCATCATTTCCCCCTTCAAAAACCACCACAACGACTTCATCATAATCTTCAAATCTCTTCTTTCTATATTCATCACCATTATCACCATCTTTATCATCATGAAGACTATTATTATCATAATCATCCTCGTCGTCATCATCATCGTCGTCGTCGTCTTCCTCACCATCATTTTGATCGACTCTGGAACAACGATACAGTCCAGATTCTTTCAAATCCACCTCGATGATACTCAACATGGATACACCACGACCGGATTTGTAATCCCCCAGTGACGTCACTGCGTAACCGGAATCGATTTCCGGTTTTAGCAAAGTGCCGTTGTGGTACCAGGAGATGTTGTTGATGTTGTTGCTGTGACCTTGAGACAGACAGGTCAATGTCAGGGTTTGACCTACTTTCAATAGGACTGCTGCGGTTTTTGTCTGATCAAAGCTCACTAATGGTGGTGATGTCGTCTGATTTTGTTTCATTGGTGACGTTGTTGTTGTTGTTGTTTTTTCGTGTTTTTGTGCTTTTTGGTACGTTGATGATAATGCAGAAGATAATGGCGATGATGATGTAGATGGTGGTAAAGGGGGAAGGTAACTGAAACGCTTCTAGTTTTGATATCTGCAATGAATTAATCGTGACTGTCACCATCATCATCAAATCATCATCATCATAATTCCATCATCATCATAATTCCATCATCATCATTCCATTATTGTTATCATCATTTTCAACGTTATCATTGTCATCATCGTCGTCGTCGTCATCATCATCATCTTCTTCTTCTTTTTCCTCTACATCTTCATCATCATTGTCATTATCATTTCTTTGCGGATGTAATAATTATCAATGATATATACCTACACCATGAGTGTTATCATTATCACTGTTAACATATACAGCTAACAATCATCATTGTCATCATTATCTTCATCGTGTTTCTGTAATCATTTGTCTTAGAAAAACTTTCCTTAAATTGAGAATCCTATAATGGCATTAGAGTAGCCAATTTTGCTATATAAAGTATTACCCTCTTCATCATCACAGCTTCTACCATCATCTTTTACATTATCACAATCATCGTCAGTATATTTATAAGAAAAATACCATCATCGTCATCATCATCACCCTCATCATGTTCATCGCAATTATTATCATCAAAGCTAGAAAAGATCGTCTATCAGCAAGTAAAAAATAACGAGACCACAACACAACAGTCTTTGTTCCATGATTATTCTTATGCGAATGAAGTGCATGAACATGTGTGTGTGTGTGTGTGTGTGTGTGTGTGTGTTTGCTTGTATGTGTGGGTGTGTTTTGATTAAACGTTGTGTGCCTGTGTGTGTGTGTGATTAGATGTAAGTCTGTCTGTGTGTATGTGATTAGATGTGTGTGTTTGTGTGCGTGTGACTAGAAGTGTGTCTTTCTATGTGTGTATTCATGTATGTACGTGCGTGTGTATGTGCAGATGAGTTTGCGTACGCAGATGTGCTTCTTTTTCCGTAAGTGTATGTATGTGCGTTTAGATATAGTTCAATTTGCATAGCCAGACGGGTATGACAAAAATAATGTTTTAATCTCTTAATTATAATTCACTTAATATAATATTATATGTCTGTAATGTGCAAAATTATTTTTTGATGTTTCCATTAATTCTTTTGTGTAGTGTTTAAGAACATTTTAATTAATTACACAACAAAGAAAAAACTTTCTCTTTCTCTATGTGTGTGTATGTGTGTGTGTATGTGTGTATGTGTGTGTGTATGTGTGTGTGTATGTGTGTATGTATGTATGTGTGTATGTGTTTGTTTGTGTTTTGTGAGGTAGGAAAATATTTTATATATTCCACATGGTACATTCCAAGAATATGTCGGAATCGAGTAGATCCTATACCGACTAAAAACCTCATCGACATCTGGCCCCTGTTTCTCTGGCTGATCCGCAGTTACACGGGGGTCATAGCAATATGCTATTCCTACAGTTTTTAAATACCACAACATTTGAATATCTACCTTTTATTTTTGATTATTAATTGTGTGTGTGTGTGTGTGTTGTGTGTGCCCTGCGTATGTTATTGTGTTTTTACTAGATATTTATTTATATAAACATGTCTGGTATAAATTATATTTAATAGACATATTGTTTAGTTTCAATCTACAAGCAAACACACACGCACACAAACACACGCGCGCACGCACACCTACACCCACACACACGCGCGCACGCACACACGCGCGCATATACACACGCACGCACACATACTTATGTCACTTTTGCCAAAGTTAACAAACCATTTGGCACTCATTAAGATGAATATAATGAATAGCGATGTGGATGAGGATGGTGGTGATGATGAAGAAGATGATGTTGATGAAGATGATGTTAATTGTGATGATGATGACGGAAAGAAATAAGTGTTAATGATAGTTTTGATGACGATGAAGAAGAAGAAATTATTGAGACTGATGATGAGAACTAGGATTTTTATTATTAAATCTATTACTACTACTATTACCACTACTGCCACTACTGTTACTACTACTACTACTACTACTACTACTGTTACTACTACTACTACTAATACTACTACTACTACTACTACTACTACTACTACTGTTACTACTACTACTACTACTACTACTACTACTACTACTACTACTACTACTACTACTATTCCGTCAACGACTACTACTAGTACAACAACAACTACTACGACTACTACTACGACTACCGTTCATTCAAAAAGCCATTAGACCATTCAACATAGTACAAACAGAAATAAACGCCTTCGCCAATGTTTTACAGCCATTTCATTCATTTGGAAAGCAACAAGCCAGTTTAAACAACAACAATAAAAACAATAATAATAATAACAATAATACCAATAATAATAATGGCAACAACAATAACAGCAACAATAAACTATAATTTAGATACCATTGAAAATGATCTTAATTCTGAATCTTAAACCAACGTTTTGATCCTAAATAAGTTTATACAAGGATGACCAAAACTAATATTTTTAAATAAAATTTAATTTATTTACGTAACTACCTCCTAAAAAAAACAAACAAACAAACCGCATTTTTAACCAATAACAACAACATTTCTATATTATTTTTATTAGTGTTGTTGTAGTTGTTGTTATTATTATTATTAATATTTATGCTTTTGTTATTATAATTGTTATTAATATTATCACTATCAGTAATGTGAATTATTAGCCCAACAATAGTCATAACAACAACACATTCAAAGCAGCAACAACAACAACAACGATGATAATAATGAAAATAACAAAGATAACAATTACAACAATTACAACATCAACAACAACGATAACAAAAACAATAATAACAACGATAACAAAAACAACAACAACAACATCAACAGTTGGTGCTAAACGTCACTAGCCATTTTTTACGTTTGGTCTTCCGCTCTTTATTATTTCTTGACTCTCTCTCTTACTTAGTATCTCTCTCTTTCGCTCTTTCTTTTCCTCTCATTTTTTTTCTCATTATCTCTTCTTTTCAAGTATTTGTAACACCCCCTCATGTTTTTAATTTCTATTTGTCTAACGATATGTATGTCCACCCATTTATCCATCTATTCTTTTATCCGTCCATCTTTCCATTCCTCCATCCATCAATCAATTCATCCATTAATTCATCCATCTATACATACAACTGCCCATTTATTCACCCGTGCACCTATTTGTCCATTATTCCATCCATCCATTCATCTATCTCTCTACCAATCTTTCCATCTATTCATTCATTCCTTCTTCCACCAATCAACCCACCACCCGTCCAACCATCCATCTATCCATCAATCCATCTGTCAGCTTCTTTTGTAGTTCATAGCACAGTTATAATATTTATAAAGCCCGGATTATTGTTTTGCAATTTTTTTTCCCTCCTTTTAATGCTATGACGTTATCAAGCTCGTTAAATGTAATTTGAATAATAATAATTATTATTATTATTCATTATTATTATTATTACTACTACTAATACTACCACTACTAGTACTACTACTACTACTACTACTACTACTACTACTACTACTACTACTACTAATAATAATAATAATAATAATAATAATAATCTACTACTACCATTTACTTTGTTGTTGTCGCTTCATATTATGGCACATGCAAAGCATTTTGTCAAATCGATAGGAGATTGTACAATGGAAAAATTTCAGCAGAGAATGTAATGAAAGACTTTTGATTGATGGAAACACGCATTGTATAGTTTTGTATCTATTAATGTATAGTATATGTGTGTGTGTGTGTGTGTGTGTGTGTGTGTGTGTGTGTGTGTGTGTGTGTGTGTGTGTGTGTGTGTGTGTGTGTGTGTGTGTGTGATTTCACTGATTGCATGCTTCAGACCGCAATTTGTTGTTCAGAGTCTTGTTGCCAGGGTTGCACGCCAACAATTTTTGTGACATTTTATTTCAAATTCATCCGATACGTTAAGTTGAAAAATTGCATCATATAAACTCACTTATTTTAATTATATTTACATTGATTCAACATTTTACAATTACTGTTGATACCAATATAATCACATTTACATTATATTCGCAATTACATTTACAATTACATAACTGTTACCAGCACTATTACAGTTACTGCCACCGTTACATCAATTACATTTACAATTCCTTACCTTTGATTTCGGCGCTTGCAGTGTTGCTGATGAGAAGTAAAACGAAGAGTTGGATTGCGAGGAGTTTGATGAGGAAGCCGAAGATGCTGTCGCGGATTATTTTGTTTCTGCAATTAATTGCGTGGGCGTTGTTGTTGTGGCCAATGTTTTCGTTGTTGTTCATGTTGTTGTTCATGTCGTCAATGGTGTTGTAGTAGTAATAGTAGTTGTCCTTGTTGTTGTTGTTGTCGTTGTTAATTCAATGTATGTAACAAGATATTTATTTCTTATAATTTTTGCATTCTAAATATTTGACACAGTATATTTAAAAGAGACTCAACTTCACGAAGCAGAACATATTGACAATTTTATTTGACTGTATTAACTTGTTTTATTGCATCATAACATTTCTCGAACAGCATACAAAAAACTACCAATCTGAAAACGCTTAAAACAAAACATTACATGTATCGCACACAAACACGCACACAGACACACCCGCACACAGACACATAGACACGTACACAGATACACACGTGTGTAGACGATACACAACATAAAGGTTCTTTTAATGTTTTAATTAAGAGAAAAAACCAACCACTTTTCTTTCATCAAATGATCGAAAGGTATAATATAATGTATAATGCGTTATGAATGTGTATTCGTGTTTATGCATGTGTGTATGTGTTTATGTATGTTGATTTACGTTTATATATATTTATGTATGCATATATATGTATGTGTTTCTGAGTGTATGCATGTATGTTTATACAAACATATACACGAGAATGCATGCAACAAACTATTAGGATGATTTGAAAAAAATTTTTACCCCGATCATTACGGCTTATATAGACAAACATACACACATACATACATGCATACACGCTTCTATATATATATTTATTATATGTAGGTATTCGTCTATTCATCTTCAAAAGAACGCCACGAAATATATAAGGTTATGCATGTTTCTCTTCGTTTTCTCTCTCTCTCTCTCTCTTTCTCTCTCTCTCTCTTTCTCTCTCTCTCTCTCTTTCTTTCTTTCTTTCTCCCCCCCCTCTCTCTCTCTCTCTCTCTCTTTCTCATCTTTTTATTTGTTTCCTTTGTTTAGCCTTACGGTTTAAATTCTCCATACTATCCTCATTAAGGAAAAATTAAATTTTAATTTGCTTGTTGAATGGAGGAAGTTTATAAATTGCTGTAAATTTTTTACTCAACAGGATAGCAAGTTATTATTATTATTTATTATTATTATTAATATTACTAATAATAATTCTTATTATCAAGTTAGCGTTGTCACAGCTTATAAAACCACATGCAAATGTAATAAGTTAGTGTCCTTATCGGTTTGCCCAGTGGTTTTATTATTATGCCAATTGTTTTGTTATTTCTATTTGTATGTGTATAGACATTATATATAGATATGTATATACACAAGATATAGATGTATGTATTTTATTTTATTTTTTATTTTGTATTTATTCATTTGTGTATCCGTTCATACTTTCGTTCGTTCGTTCGTTCGTTCATTCGGCTACATCTACACATATGCATCTTTTTCGTTAAGATGGGCATATGAAGCAATGCATCTCCGCGCTCTATAGACAAGTTAAAATATGTTACACGGTGAACAGCATTCTATAAATAATGGAAACGTTAACGTTATTAGTGCTAGTAGTAGTAGTAGTAGTAGTAGTAGTAGTAGTAGTAGTAGTAGTAGTAGTAGTAGTAGTAGTAGTAGTAGTAGTAGATGTTGTTGTTGTTGTAGTAATAGAAGTCGTCGTAGTAGTAGTAATAATAGTTGTAGTAGTAGTAGTAGTAGTAGTAGTAGTAGTAGTAGTAATAATAGTTGTTGTAGTTGTAGTAGTAGTAGTAGTAGTAGTAGTTGTTGTTGTTGTTGATGATGATGTTGTTGTTGTTGTTGTTGTTGTTGTTGTTGTTGTTGTTGTTGTTGTTGTTGTTGTTGTGGCTAGCAGAGTAAGAGAGTTGAAACAACAAAATCTGTTTGAAACAGTGGTAACAAAAAATATCAGTAATTATACTAACCGAGCGTAACGTCACATGTTGTTGTTTACATTTATGTAGCGCCTAATAAATAACCTGAACAACATTTTTTTTCTGAACTTCCTTTTCAACGAGTAGTAAATTTTTTTTTCTCAACTGCGTGTTTTTTTTAAACTTTCAGCGTTTCTTCTTCCATATTTTTATGTTTACCTAGTTTTCTTTGGCTTGAACTTTCGCATTTGATTTCTGCTACCCTCTGAATAAATTACGTCTGAGAGTAATATTTGCATGTTTTTATGATTTAATAAAATTAATACATAAAATGATTTGTTTAAAATTATCTTACGAAAGTAATAAATGGTTAAAATACCTATTTAAACATATAAAAGCTAAATATCTATGTAGTACTTTTGAGGATTGTTTGCTTTACTAAATTAAAACGTTACCAACTACAGACTTAGCGTCACATGTTTTCCTATCATGCTAGTTTACATAAGAAGTTGTATTTGAATTTTCAAAAAATAATAATTCATCGCGGATATTTTGGCGCCTCAGAATTCTCTCTCACTTTCATGTATTTAAAATTTATAACTTGTTGTTAACAAAGGCCTAATGAGAAATAAATAATAAATGGGCGGCCTGGACTTGTTTATAAACTAACGAGCGATTGTTTTGTTACATGTACACACCCACCATCCACCTACACGCACACACGCACACACACACACACACACACACATGCAAACAACCATGCATACACACAGATACACATACAACACATACACGTCAACAAATACACACATATATGGATGAAACCACACAAGCACACACAAAGACGCTTATCTTTTCTATATTTGTTTTTTTTCTACTCATACGAAACAATATTTAGTAACCAGAGGCGTAAAATTTCTTACTGAAAATTACTTAACTTTAATTTTTTTTTCATTTAACTGCAAATATAGATATTAAAATATTTTGGAGATGTCATTTGCTATGTCAAAATTTTAAAACATCTTACTTTGCTCTACACATATATATTTATAGAATAAACATTCTTAGACAATATTACATATTTATATATATATGACTTTGTACTGTAAACTATTATTTAGTTGTCTTTAGCACTTAACTCGGATTGATTTCATTGAATTTTTTGAGGAATTAACGCTCATAAATTCACGAAGGACAACCAATTTGTCATAGATGTTAAATATTTTTATACGTGGTTTATTCAACTCAGTACCTTTATTAATTTATTAAAAATGGTTAACGTTTAGATGAGCGTAAGTTCAAAAACAAAGTCTAACTATTGATAAAAACACATATTTATTTATATATTTATTTATTCATTATTAGTTAATTTTTTTATAAATTAGTTTTATTATTTATTCGTTTATTTATCTGTTGAAAGATCTATAAACTCAGCATCATGTTGAATGCGTGCGGCAACATAACGATATTCATATGAATGCCAACAAATACAACTGCTGAAAGAAGTTTCGTAACACGGATATACAGCAAAAAAGGCTCAAACGTCACTTCGCACTTAACTCGTGTTTCAATTATATACATACAAACATACAAATATATACAAACATACACAAACATACATTTACACATAAATACATACAATTAGTTATGTATACCTATATTCTATCCATATATCCATATATATTCTATCCATATATACATACATACGTGCATAAATACAGATCAGGCGACAGCAGAGAACTGTTTTTCGCAACTAACTACATTTCGTGCTTGTTGCAGCGGTTCCTGCGTGTCTGTGTGCTTGAAAATATCCAACTGAATGCCGACATGTGCAATTAACGACAAATCAAAGTGTTAATCCATTTGTTACTTGATGTTTGACGGTTCAGTGTCACTCATCATGTTTTGGTTTTAACATACATATATACATACATATAAATGCATGCGTACATATATACATATACATACAATCTATATGTGTATTGTGTATATACAAACTAGATCATGTGAAAGTATGTATTTAAAAAAATATAAACTTTAAATAGAATTAAAAGCATGATTTGAATTCTTATAAAATATGAGTAATTATTTATTAATTATTTCGATGACTGTGACGTGAATGATGATGGTGACGATGACGACTATGACGATGGCCTCAAATATGATCACGCAACAAACACGCATCCAGCAGAAAGAATGGATGCATCCATCTATTTAATAACGATTTAGATTAAAAAAATATGACCACAGGTTGCAGAAATTATTGTTTGGTAAAATAATGATATTCATTGTAGAAATTCATCCATATACATATCTATAAAAATATATTCACTCAATTTTATATATATGTATACTCACAACACACGAACGCCAGCAAACACATATACGCACTAAAAAGACAGGATACGTATTTCGTGTGTTTAATAATTAATTTTTCAAATTTATATATTATTATAAGTTTAATATTGCAATAAGGCAAGATCGTCTTATTTTTACTCGCGTTTCCATTGGTACCTCGTTTTTAGTTAGGCAAGCTTTTGCATTCCGATGAATAGTTAATACTCTATTTTAATAATTAATTAATTAATTAATTAATAATTAATACTAAACAAACGACGCAATAACTTTTTACACATCCACAATTTTTTATTGAACATGAATGACAAACATTCAAAGATAACATTTTAATTAGTGTGTACACAATAGTGATAGTATTAAAAAAAATTGATGTAATAAAGAATAAAAATTGTTTTTTCAAGTTAAAGTTAAAAATGTTTTGGTTGTTATTAAAAAATGTATAATTGTCATAAAAATATATATAACTGTTATGAAAATGTTCGCGTCATAATCAAATAAGTGAAAAATTTAGAGTTTGTGGTATCAGTTTCAAGTTTGAAGACCTAACTGAGTGGCAACTGAATTCCACCACAAATTATTTACGAAAATGTCGTCACTTAGAACGAAATATGTCATGTGTTACGTAACAAAAAACTTGTGGAGTTGAGAAATGTTAACTGCAAATATACAAATAATTTTGATAAAAAATTTTGCTTAAAACCATGGTAATACACGCGATTCAAGCATATGACAGAAATATTATACAAATTTTTGTATAGATCGACGAAATAAAATATAAGCACATAAACACAACAATGCAAAAGATAAATTGTAATAATCGTTAGCATAATATCTCTAGCT